TGTGATATCTTTTTTTTTAACAAGTAAAGTTTTGGATCCTGAGCAGTTTTCTACACAAGATTTCTCAAGTTTTATGGAATAAAATAAAGTTTTTCCACATTTCAACATCCACTTAACAAGTGGATGTTGAAATGCAACAGATATTTTTGTTATTATTTATTATTTGACATTGATTAAACAAAACCTGAGATCGAAGTTGAGCAAACTCTGTAAACTCATTAAAATTCAAGGGCAAAGCACAGGAGAGGGCAGGCTTAGCAAACGCTGTGTCATCATCATGCAGAGAGACCATCTGAATGTTATTTCGCCGTCTGATTTGAGTGCCAGTTTCAAGGGCATTCTGCTTTACCCAGGTAATTATTGAGGCAGTTTGGGGCTCCAAGCTGAACCCAAACATTTAATTTATGCAATAAAAAGACATTTCAATTCATTTACTGAAACCTTAATAGGTTTATCTCATTTAGTCAATATTGTGCGCTTGCATTTGTTCCATTCATCCAGGTTGCATTACGGTCATGATTAGGCAGGCTGTGGCTCCAAGGTAACAGCTATTTGCTTGCTCCTTTGCAGAGAAGCATCTTTAAAAGGAGGCACTTCACTGCTTCCAAGTAAATCTAGCCCCTTCTGACCAATCAAAGAATGTAATCCGAGGTTGCCTACATGTAGTTTTGTTAATTGATCGTTCCACCCACATACAGAATAGATAACTGGAAAAGCCTTTTGTTTGTCTAAAGAGAAGGCATGTTAAAGAAATCAATGGTATGACTGCTTTTTGACCTTCTTCTGTTCTTTCTGCAAACAATTAGGCCAAATCTGTGAATGCGTTTTGCCTGTTTCATATATTCCTGTCACATAATCATTTTCATCTTCACACTTTCAGTTTTGACTCTTGTATTTTCAGCCAAGTAAACAGGCAAAAACGCAGTTTATTACTATCTGTCATGCGGTTTAATCTGATGACAAAGAGACATCTCAGGCAGCATAATTAGCAGGCACAGCATTACAGGGTTTCTTTCGCTCTCACTTTTTATATCTAATTTTTTTCCCTATTTGATTTCAGCGTCTGCAGCAGAAAGATTATCAAATGTTTTGATGTCAACAGAGAAACGTTGACTGACAGGCCTGGCCAGAGTGGAGCGCCAGATCATATGGTAACTGACAGTAGAGACCCATTCTTTATCCTCTGCACAGAGTAAACAAGGCAAACAAAGAATTTAATTATACTTTCCATCTCGGCAGAGTAGAACTGACGTTCAGGAGAGAATTTTGCTGGTCCATTTCTCCATTATCTTACTGTTAAATTTAAATAGAGCTTGAATGCTGATACCTGGTGCAGTGATCATTCAAATTTTCTAAATTTAATAAATAAATTATGTATGCAATTGCATCTCAACATTTTCAGTCTAAAATCGAAAACATCCCTGCTGCCTTCACAGAATATCAGTATTTATTCAGAAAGGTGAACTCACTTTACTGTGTGCAATATAAAGTTTGGCTATTATATGCAATGCCTTCATGCAATTTGGTGTAAAATCAAATTGCATTTCATTTTCTCCATCACAATGAAATAAGTACAAACTTGCAATGCTGTCCTAAATAGGAAATAGTGTCAACATCTGAGAAACAGCGGTATCCAGTCTCATTACATCCCACAAAATACAAGTGTGTACAACTGTGCAAAGGTTTGGCAGGCAGAAAGACTATTCATCTTTCTGCTATTTGCTAACAGCCTTGTTGCCACACTCCTGCCAAATTCTTCTGAGCCGAATTCAAGTGGGCCTCAAATCTGGCTGTCGTCGAGGGTGGCCGTCTGGAAGACAGGAAGAGTATGAAAGAGGGTCCATCCAGTCTTCATGCTGCATTAAAGTAGATGTAAGACTGGGAAAATGATTAATACTCCTAAGGAGTAATATCTCCATGCAGGATATTGACTTTGTGTCAATGCTGACGAACAAAAAAGTCGCTATTGTTCCCTAAACACTGGCCCTCCCAGGCTTCTTATTAAATAGATGTGGCAATTTGATTGTCAATATGAGCCTGAAAGTAATAATGCATGTTTGTTTCTTATGAGACTGCAATGTTCCTCAGCGCTACACAGGGGAATATTAAGTTCCTTGGGTCTCTATAGTATGATTGTGGAACAACAAATGCCAGAAGTATTCAGAAATCATTGATGCAGACTAGTAATCAAGTTATTGTGACTTTTTTAACCCAAACAAACTTTCTTTGACAGTACCCATTTTACATAAATATAAAATGTTGTTGCCATGGATTTTTCAGTGTTTTTTAATATACTGTAACCTTTTTGAGAGCAGTTTCCAGTAAAGGTGGAAAATAGCAATTTATATAATAGTTGGAAGACATCAATTACAAAACTTTTTGATGCATTTTAAAATTTCTACACATTTGTGAAATGCAATATTTTTAACATTTATTACAAAATGAATTTCAAAATGTTTGCTGAAGCTGGACAAAAAGCATCCATGAATACAAAATCTGTTCACAAATTCCCTTTTTTTTAACTAAGTCACTGTAACATCTGAATAGACTTTGATCTAAACCATGTGATTATAACTCTGGCTGCGCTTTAGATGGCAATTTTCTAGCTGGAAGGTGAACATTTGTGTCATTTTCAAGCCTTTCATTGAAGAAATTGAAATGTTTACAATATTAAATCAGTTACCTTTCGCTTTAATTCACAGACTTCCATGAGTCAGTGTATTAAATAAAGTCTCACTAGAACAGATTACATAGCATGCCCTACATTGCTTTTAAGATAGTTTGGATTATTTTGTATTTTTAGGATTTTGTCAAATCTTGCTTTAAGAATTAATAGTTTCAGGTAATATTAGTAGGGTAAGGGTTAGGCTTCCTAAAGTCTCCCAGAAGACTCCCAGAAGTCATTTGCAGATGTTTCGGAAGAACATTTAGGAAGACTGGGTCAACTTGTCAGTCCATCCTTATTTCACTTTTCAGCTTCTTATTACAAAGATGCATTGCTACAACAAATAATTAATGGACCAAATTTTATGTGTGGTTGGAGTGAATTTATCTTTTTTTTTTTTTTGTAGAGTGCCTTGAGTTCCCTTGTGATGTGAATTGGCCCTGTGTAAACAAACAGAATTGAATTGAATCGGCAACTCCAGCTTGATCAATACATTTTACAGATTTCTGAATCTTGTTCAAAACAGCCAATTTTACTCATGAAATTTCAAATTGCTTTAAATGTGGTAGTGGGTTCTGTCATTGGCCTCAAAATGTCACTACTGGTATACCTCTAGCTCCTCTGTTTATGTAACTTACCAAACTTGAAATGTCTGATCTTTTCATCTTCATGCAGCGTTTGGCGCAAACACAGAATATGTGCATGTGGAAACGTTACCATTTTACATATTACTCTTGACCTGCTTAATAGCTTCTTCACAACATTCTTGACATTAATCTAAAGACGCGCTCTGACAGTGCCATGGTAAAAATGTTTCTGCTCTCCTTCTCAACGTTGAGAGGATCAATGTTTGCTGTGGATATCACAGCTCAACTTATATCTTCAGTCAGAATAACAGCTAAATTGTTAAAACAACTTCTTACGAAACTCAGAAAAATAAAAAAAATAATTGGTTGTCTAATGTGTCAGTCTGCACCTTGTTATTGCTTTTGTGAAGTGCTAGAAATCTAATTAGATTTTAAACTAACCCTGAAAATGTATTTTTTCTCATTGGTCTCCACTGTTATTAGACTTTTGCTGGTTTCAGGAAACTTGTTTTAACTGTAGGACCCTTAGTTATTGTCACTTGTGGTTAAAAGTTTTTTCTTGAGCCTTTTCTAGGAAAACAAACATGTCTTGAGGTCTTCGTCGCCCGGCTTATTGGGTGTCAATGACTGCCAGTGAGCCAGACTGGTATCCCCAGGCATTTGAAGTCTATTTTGAGAGTATGTGTCCCTGGAGGTTGTTTGTTTTTCAGGCCCACATGACTGTTACACATTCATGAAACACCTTTTCAGTAAAAGCACAGAGTTGGCTTTGAAAGCCCTCCTGCTGTCTGCTGGTAAATATCAGCTGCTAATTAGTGCCTGTTTATATCTTTCACGGCTTCATCTTTTGGAAGATAGCCGGCCCATTCTGGTACTGATTTTTCTGCATTTTACCAATCGATGGACTTCACTGCTGCTGTCTTCTGTCTCTCTCTTCTCCATCTGGGGGTTTCTAGCAAAGGAAAGATGATGCTGGCCATTACAGGGTTACATTTTCATTTTCTGGTGAGAATTTTAGGATAACATTTGTGGGACAAAATTAAAAAAAATGCTCATCTCTTTTTGTGCTTTGAATGTTTTATGAGGCACATCAATTTGACCCCACTTGACTTTTTTAAAAAAAATTATTAATCAACCCACTAATATTGTGCAGGGAAAAGGCTCCAACTGATTTTTCGTCATCTGAAATTAGGGTTTGCAAAAATAAAAAAAATTTCCTTGATGTTTCATTCAAAGTGAATTACAAATTTTCTGAAACTTTACTGAGACTTACAAGAAAGTGTTAAATTGTGTGATTGTACATATGTATGCTTATGCAAGATGAGTTTGATCTCAGTGTTTCAGGAACAGTATTTCAGAGTTTTGGAGCTACAAATGCAATATCTCATCACTGACTTTTCTGTTAATTGTAGATATTCTACATTGGCACTGAAGGGTTTAATTAGTGGTTATTACTGGTTAACTACTGTTAAAAAAGAATAGCTCCAGGCACAAGGTGATTTTATTTAAAACTCTGGCTAATTATACATAGCTAATGCTGGACATCTTAGTTAGGAACATACAGTGACGGTGGTAATTTAATTTTCAGTAAAGCCTACTGTCTGCATGGACTCATTTGAGACATTGTCTAAAAACATTTCTTGGGCCACATGTGTATCGTCTTCTCTGTTAGACTCAGTGGAGCCTGGTTTTTCTGCTGTCAGGGTTTCTGGGTGTTTGTGATAATGGTGCCTGTGTTTGTTTTTCAGTGGACATCCATCTGGGAAAGGAAGTCTGAAAAAAAATTGCTCAGACTCAAGAACCTGTGAGTATGACCTCAGATAACTCTTCATCAAATCTCATTATAGTCCATGGCATTTATTAAAATTTTGTGTCATGTAAAGAAAGGTTAGAAAAAGTCCAATTATTTCATTTACACAATATGACATCTTACCCTCTGTTTCCCCATGACGTCTGCACACAAAATCAATCAAATCGGTAGATCCTCCAGGGAGTCAGGATGCTTGATGGCCTCTGGTCTCATTTGGGATGCAGACATTGTCCTGTTGCTTCCTTTAATGAGATCTGGAGGCGTGCAATCTAATATTCACCAGTGAGGCACCAACATGGCCCCTGAGCCTGTAGCCAAGAAAACTGTGTGTTAATTCAATGGAGTGAAGTCAGCTGTGATCAGAGCGACTGAAGTGGCCATTCACTCCAGAGGCTGAGAGGCACTGACTTTGTTTGAAACACGATGCACAAATACTCTGCGGCTTTGTTTATGCCTCGCTTAGTAGGTTGGACTTTTGCATAAATATTTCAGTAAATATTATTCACAAAGAGCTGCTTCGGGCTTGAACAAGCGCAGGTGTGGGATCAAAGGTACGGCAAGTCTGGCTGTGAATAACAAATACAAACATTTTCATGAGCGAGAGCTTCCCTTGAACTGACCAAAAAACACCAGTTTTTGTGAAATACTGTGACATGGAAGTTATTATTTTCATTGTTTTATTGTTCTTTGAAAGCAATCGCAAAGGTGTGCATGCTGATTGGTTTTCTTTTAAGCTTTTTCATTAAGTCATATCCATAAATGTGAAGGTTTTTACTGAAATTGCGTATCCTTCACCTCACATTAAAAGCTTGCTCATTATTAAAGCTGCTTCTATTATCAGAACTGCAACTGAGATATTGGTGAACCCTGGTGATAAGTAATCAAACAGAAAATGTTAACAATTTGTTCAATCAAAAAAAAGCACTGAAAATGTTTTCTCATATGCATGAAGCTGAGTTTATCGTGGCGTTACCAAGATAAAGGGCTTTACTAATGACGTTATCTCAATTTAAAGTCCTCAATCTCAGTTGTTTTAAAACAATCTTCTGTTATTCTCCAGTCTTTAAGTTTAAATATCTTCAAAAGCATCAAAATGACTACAAGTAGAAACAATAAAGTCTTGGTTCCTACTCATTTAGAGGGTTGAACTGATAAGAGGGACATATTTTAGACTTCTTGGAGCCAATATTACTAATTATTTCTGTGATATTTAGTGGCGAAACATCAATTTCTTTTATGCTGTTGATGATCCTTAAATCTGTCTCGGCTGTCAGCAGTGATTGATGGAGTTTGCACTTCCCACCTCCACTCGGCTGTGTTTTCCTCTGTTTACACCTCATACCTTATCTCACTTCCAGAGATCTCTCAGCCTCCTTCCATTAACAGACTTATTAATCATCCTTTGTGGTATGTGATTGAGTTAAAGCCCTTCTGCTGGTACGTTATTCAGAAATAGTGTTATTAAAAAAAATACTTATTCCCTAATAAATTCCTTGTGGTTTTGAATTTTTGTCACACTTCAATTTTTCAGATCATCGTGCAAAATGTTTCAAAGATAACGAACATCCATTAAATAATCAGTCTTGAATAATTTACCAAGCAGGAACAAAATCTGTTAAAACTGAGTGAAAAAGTTGTCTGTTTAAAAACCGATTGCACCTCTGCAACAGCAACTGCCATCAAGCACATGTGATAACTGGCAATATATTGGAGCGCTGGTTCTGAAGAGACAGGCAGTCCCAGAGCATGACATTACCACCACCATGTACGACGGCTTGCACAATTATCTGAAGTGCTGTTTATTTGCACATAAATCACTTAAAGCTTTCCACTTTTGTCTCAAAAGTATTTTCCAGTAGTCTTGACGATTATACAAATGTTTTTTGGCAATTTGTGGATTAGTTCTTCAGCTTTTTTTGGTCAGTAGTGTTTATTGCCTTGACACTCCCCTGTAAGCCATATTTGCCATGCCTTTCTTTATTTCTGTTGATTAATGGACTTTGACCTTAACAAAGGCAAGTGATGTCTTCAGTGCTTTAGATAATGTTCTTGGCTCTTTGTACAATTTTAGAAATCTGCCAACTACAGGGAAGATTTTCTAACGCTGCATGTTTTCTCTCTTTGTGGGTAATGGCTCTCAAGGCCATGTTTGAGGCCTGAAGTCTTAAAACATGGCTTTGTAATGCTTCTCAGATTTCTAGCTGCCACTGCTCTTCTGATTTTTTTTTACATCGAGGCGCTGTGTGTTGCTTTTGAAGCTCCTTTAGCCTACTTCATGTTGGCAGTCAGGTTCTGTTCAGGTGATTTCTTGATTATCCATGTTTTTCTGATCAAACTGAACCAAAAATGTGGGTGATATCTAAAGTATGAGCTAGAAAACAGGCCGGTATATTGTTTTATTTCTTTTAGAAATAGGTCAATTTAGATAGCTTTCCTTTTATTAAAGGATAATTTCATTTAAAAGGTCCCTGTGGTTACATTGATGCATGTACTAAATTATTAAAATATACTTGTTCTTTATTGGCATGGAAGCATTTATAAACATGCTGTGTTTCCTTTTTCTTAACACCTCTATTTAGTAATTTGATGTTGTAGTGGTTGAAGATTTCCGGGATTTGTTGTGAAGTTCATGTTACCTCATAAACCTGCTGGTGCCGTTTTCATGCAACCCTCTTAAAATGTTGAAAACAGAGCTCAGGCAAATAGCTGACCCATTCTGCAAATGCACATTACATTTCTAAGCCATTAAGATGTTCCATGGAAAGTTGTGTAATTGGTTGTAGTGGTTTTGCGGCTCTCTGATTTGAGTTTTACGGCTCTTAATGCATCCAGTTTTACCACAGTGCTGTTTACTGGTGGAAGTTTTCTAAACTGACAGATGGGTTGTAAACACTGCTGTCGTCTGGCTGCTGCATTCTTTGCTCTTTTTCTCTTTAGAAAACAGTTCCACAAAATACAACAATATGTACAACTTCAGCAATCATAATCACATTGTACTTACATTGTACTTACAGGCAGGGTTGTGATTCATTTACTGCACAACGTAGTTCCTGCAGAAGCAGGTTAATTTGTTAAATTCATTTATTGGTCAAATAAAACCCATTGTCATATTTAAATAATCGACTTTCACTATATCCAACATGATTCAGTTAAATATTTTTAGGAAAATGCAGCATCACAACGAGAAAATAAAGTTGTGCAACCATCCAGCCTTATCACATGGTTAAGGCTGACCCTAATCCCGAACCCTAACCCCGAACCCTAACCCCAAACCCTAACCCCGAACCTTAACCTTAACCCTAACCCTGATAGTGGAAGTTACCATGAAGTGATTTCTTTTGATGGGTAATTTAACATTATAAATGCTTGATGCTTTGAGTTTATCAACAAAAATCCAGAGTTGAAACTATTTATTCCACATTGTGGAATAAATAATCAACCAGAACAAAAAGCATTCACTTTTTAAAAAGATTCACAGATCTAATAAGAGCATATCAGCTGTAATTTTTAGGTTTATGACATAAGTAATGATATCCTTTCATGAACAGTGCAGTTTATATTTCTAAGCAAACCTCCAAATAGTTCCAAAATGGTGAAATGCACAATGTGGTTCTAAAAGATTTAAAAGCATAAAAAATGCCAGACCTGAGGTTGCAGGATCTCCTCCAGCTCTTCAGCATATGAGCAACCAGGCATCTGATGATGACAGCAGAACCCGGTGGAGATTCTTCCTTTAAAATGAATGAATGACGCACAAAAAAATATGTAAACTGCAAACTTTGCTTTTATTTCTTGAAGATTAAATTGTTTTATTGTTCCGTTTACTTGATACATACTTCGTTGTATCAAGTGATGACAAGGGGAGTCATATTGCAATCAGAGGGAACCACATTGAATCTTTTCCATCTTCTTTGAAGGAGTTTGAACCACAGTAATGATTTATAATATGCCAGCTTCTACATACATTTGCAGCCATGTGCCTTTTGGTCTCATCTAATCATTATCATTGTCATTTTTAATTAGAAAACTCTTTACTGGTGCAGCTGTGCTTCGGTTAGAGTAAATCTTAAAAAATGTGTTGCAAAAATAAGCATAATTATAGCTTGACACAATTGGATCCAAAAAGACTATTTTCAGTCCATATTGAATATGTCCTGCTCTGTTTTGGACCTCTCTCAGCCACATTCGCTTTCAGTGGTTGGTGCAAAATTAAGCTTTGTATTCAGCAATGTTTCCATTTCAGGAGGAGCAGGCAGAATTACTATTTCCCCATTTCATTCTCACTGAGCTACTATTTCATTTCCTGCCTTGTTCATTAAATCAAATCGCCGCCTGTCATTTGATAATAGTGCAGTGACATCAGGCAGAGACAATGTTGGGTCTAACAATTTTATGTGGTAATGAAAGACACTGCTGCTTTATTGACTTAATTTACTTTCTTGAAAATATTTGTATGGTTTTAAACTTCAACATTTTTAATTAAAATCAGAAATATAATATTTTGTATTTTAGGCTTCTATGAAAGTAATATGAACCATTTCTATGCATTTATGTACAAGAACCAGAATGTTACTCTGTTTGTTGTACATTATTATTAGCATATTTCTCCCACCTTTATACCCTGAACATCACCAAAATATTGCTCAAAAACATCCATTTGTCCTTATTTAAGATTATCTTTGCAGGGAGAGTTTTCTGTCTTCGTAAGCTGTAGGACAAGACATGGACACACCCTGAACTGCTTACCTGTCCTTCACAGGGTGACACAGAACCAAAAACGATGCAAACATCCAGACTCATCCTGTTGATCAATGTAGAGGAACCTCTTTGCTTAAAACTAATGTTTCTTCTCAGTTTTTAAAGTTCCTGAGACTCGCTGGAAAGATCCACGAGTTTGTACTTTTTGTGTAAAATATGACTAATTGTGTAAAAGTCCCTTCAAAGCCAGGAGAAAATAACATGTTTTTTGTTATACTATTTCCAAATATAAAGCA